GTGAACAGGTGGCTTTCATGGTTCATCCCATGGAAAGGCCTGGACAGAAAAGCAACGGACACGGGAGGCCAATGGACAGTGCAGACAGTGTTCCATCCACCGTAGTCCCAGACACCTCCCGTAGCTCCTGAGGCCCCCGGATGTTGTTCTTCCACCACCTCCTACAGCTCCACACCCTTTCCCCAGGTGGGGCTGGAAAACCTTTGCTTTCAACCCAGACTGCACCACCTCAGGCCAGCTCAGACCTGCCCCAGACTTGTGCTTATGAAAACAGAGCATGAATAAGCCAGGGGTGCTGCTGCACATCTGTAATCCCAACTCTGAGACACTGAACCAGAAAGATTGAAAGTTCCAGCCCAGCCCTGCGAATTTAGTAACTTAGCCAGGCAACTTAGTAACTTAGCAAAATCCTGAATCAAAATAAAATAATAACACAAGGGCTGGGGATGTGGCTCAGTGTGAAGGCCTGGGCACAGCAATCCCAGTACCACAAAAATGAGAGAGAGATGAAAAGGGAGAAGAGGGGAAGGGGGAGGGCAGGGGAGAGGTGAGTAAGGAAGGATGATGGGTTGGCAGAAGGGAGGGGAGAGGGAGAGTATGTGAGAGACAGAGACAGACAGACAGACAGAGATTAGGTGAAGGCAGAAAAAGAGAGACATCAACAGTCAGATGCAGACGCCAGAGGTGGGTGAGACAGAGACAGGCAGAAAGGTAAAAGGCAAGGAAACCACGAGGAAAAGTGCCTGGTTCCTGAACAGACAGTTATTTGCAGTCTTGCAGCAGAAAAAATCTGCCTACCTGCTGGCTTCTTCCTCCCTTCCCTACACAGACAGGCTGGAAGGCTCCTTCCTCCCTTTGAAGCCCTGTGAGACTGTGCTAATGAAACCTGAGAGGTGACAGGGAGAGGGGAGCGGAAGCTGGAGGACAGAACACTTCATAAATTAGGTTCCATCAGAATAGCTCCATGTGTTAGAGATGTCGCTGCTTCCTCATTAGTGGGTTTCTCTGTGATAATTAAGCCTCCACGTTTGACTGCAGATAACTTGATAATCAGTCCTTGAGTTTAGTGGAGACTGGAGAAGGGAGAGGGGAGATGAAATAGGAGTTGACTCCAACACACTTTACTGTGTGTGGGTGGCTGACACGATCGGGGCCAGATGCTGCACACACAGCCTTCTGGTTCCTACGCTTAGTCCCTAGGTGCAAAGGGAGCTCAGGGGTTCCTCCATCACGGGCCTCCATCCCAGAAGTCTGGGAGGTGGAAGCAAGAAGGAAAGGAGGGAGGAAGGGAGAGAGGGAAGGAAAGAGGAGGGAGGCAGGTTACTAACTCCTGACTGCAATGTATTGTGTGCTACAGAGGCTTTCTCCCTGGCCACATCTCCCCTGAATCCTGGGCTCTCACCCTATGTTTATGGTCCCTCTTGCTTGGACACATTTGATTATCTTTAACCTCAAGGGTACAACCCTTAAATATTTGTGTATAATTTTATGTAAAACAAATTATATCTTCTCTCTATTCTCTCCTATCTAAGGCAGCCCATTTCCCACTCAGTCTGTCCCTTAAGAAGTTTTCTGACATAAAAAGAATGTAAAGCATTTATCTAGTGATACACAAGAGCTCCAGTGTTGGAGAGCAGAAGGACAGTGTCTGTCACTCCAGGCTGCTGTAACAGAGCACTGTGGGTCAGATGTGGAAACAGCAAACGGCACTTCTTACAGCAGCGGGAAGTGAGTCTAGGGCAATGGCACTGGCAGAGTCAGCGTGTGGTCAGGAAACCTTCTTGGAGTATGGACACTGATACTTTCTGATCCCTCCTACAGCTAAGAGAAAGTTCATGTCTTTCATCTCTCTTCCTAGAAGGGCAGGAATCTTATGATTCCAAAGTTGCCCAAAGGCTCCACCTCATAACTAATCACCCCACAGATCCCACTACAAATAACTTTGTCTTGAGTTTAGGCTTAAACTTCCATATTTAGAGGGGGCATAAACTTTTAGTCCATTAGCAGCCTATTATATTTTTCTTTTGAAACTTTGCTATTGTCTATTCTACTAGTATTTTTGTTATTCGGTGTTTTATTAATCTTTAGAGTTATCTTGGAAATAATAACTCAAATATAATTCCTTTTTACTTAACAAAGTTTCCTGAAACAGTTTCACTCAACTAACATCTCCCCACATCTTTCGTATATTGCTACTATGCATTTTAATTTCATGTGAGTATTTAGACATTGGTATTACTGTCCCAATTTCATCAATATTTATTTGCTGCACATAAACTTCTAGTTGACATGTCTTGGTTTTAATACTGAAAAATATTCAGACCACTGTCCCTTGGATTTCACTGTCAGCGTGAAGAAGTTCGCTGTTTATCCTAGAGCTGTTCCTATAAAGGTAATGTGTCTTATATTTTGGTTTTTGGAAATTTGACAATAAAGTGACTTATTTGTTCTGTTCTTTTAATCTTGCTCAGAATTTTCAGTGCCTCTAAGTCTGTAATGTCTTTGAATGGTTTTAGAAAATTTGCATTATTCCTTCCCATAGTGTTTCTGCCATTATCTCCTTCTACTCCTTCAGCTATACCAATCAGACATATATTAGGAATTTTGGCTGGCCCTCTCTCACATTTATGTGGTTTTTTCCTGAGTCTTTCTCTTTTGTGCTTTAATCTGGATAATTCTAATGACTTAATCTATTTACAAACCTTGTTATCTACCATCTCTATATCCTGCCATTTTTGGAGTTCACAAATTCAAACATTGAGTTTCTTAATTTTATAATCTTTAATTTTTATGATTTTTAATTCTTTGTTGTAATTCTTAATTTTTTTTCTATTATTTTTTAATGTACAGTTCTAAAGAAAGTTTCTCCCTTTCTTTTCCAGGAAGAGAACAGGATGGCTGTCATCTTAATGCTACCAAGAACCAAGCTGAGTGAGTTGCTGTGCAAGTTTTGTGAGGTGCCCCTGAATCACCTTGCTTTCTACTGGATATTTCTTCAAGTTTTTTAGTTAGGAGTCTGGTATATTCCTCTGGCTTTGTGGTCCTAAACTTCTCTTTTTGTTTTCTCAGTTAAACACTGCAGACATTCTGTTCAAATGTTTTGTTTTTATGTTTTTAAACTGATGATTTGAAGAACTGTAAAATTTAGCAAATTTCTTGACATGAAAACTGGATTGTTTTTGAAGTTCCCAAGTCTTACACTGTGGTAAATTAACTAATGCTCAGTTTGTAACACCCAAACAAACTGAACCAGTACGATGCTCAGTGTGGATGGCCCACCTGAGGATTGGAGGGAAAGATGGAGTGCTATTGATTCTCCTGGAAAAGCTTGTCACATTGGCTTATCATATGAACTCAGCCATTCTCACCATTTGAGGAACCTGAGTCTTCGCTGAACTTGAGAAAGTCTGAGGTTCTCCTTGCAGGGAACTCCGGTACTTACTGTAAGCCTAACTTCCTGTCTCCAGTGTAGATCCCTTAGCCTGCTGGCATATATCCTTATACTCCTGGTGCAGACTTTCTAGCTTCCATCACTCACCTTTGGGTTTTCCCTGTGAAGATCTTTGGTATAGAGTTGCATGAGACATAGCTGTGGATTTTAAGTCTCCAGTTAGACTTGTGGAGGACATTGCCATGGGATCCAGGCCCTCGACTGGGTCCTTTGGGTCTTCAGCATGTGGACACAACTCCTACACCCTTTTCAATTTAACTCTTTGGGTGAATATTATGAAGAAATCCTATAAACTGTGTCCTGCATTAAATCTTTTTCTTTGTAAACCCTGACTGTGACACAATTTTTCCTTCTAACCCCACAAGAACACACAGTGTTCTGCTTGTTTTTCTTCACTTAATATTTCTCTTTCTACCTGAACTAAGCTGGATTCTCAGCCTCTTGCTTTTTCCCACAATCATTCAAATGAGTCACAGGAAAAGGATGCCATATATTTTCAGCTCCCCTCTCTGTGGTTCTGGCTTCTCCAGAGTCTTGACTCTTCAGTCTTCATTGAACTGAAACCAACTGTCCTATATTTCATCTCAGTGTTTTACAAATTCCTAAAGAAGCATTGATCTGTCTCCTCAATTCCATCCTACTTAGAAGCAAACTTCTAGCTATCATTTTTAATGTTACTTTACTTTTTTTCCCCTCATATTTCTATGTCACTAGGTTTTCTCAATTAATTGTTTCACTTAGTCTTCTCAAATTATTTGGACTATCAGATATTTAGATATCAGATATCAAATCTTCTCTTTCTGCAGAATAACTCCGAGAGTATAATAAGATTTCCACCTCTCCATTTTACAGATTTAAAAAGTGAGATTTAGAGAAGTTCAGTAACTTCCAAAAGTGGCATAGCTAGTAAGTACAGTAATAATGTCTGTCTTATATGACAACCCATGTCCAAAATACACATGCAAATCCACATAAAGTAACACAGAATTATCTCTGGGTTGATTTCCCAGTGTGATATTATCGGACAGAGGAGAGTTGAATAGTACATTCAGTTATTTTCTGGACTCATCTGTTTTCTGATTTCTCCTAAAACTGAAAGTATCTAACTGCGTTCAGCATTCCAAATTTGAATTTTATGGATAGTTTCCCTTTAAATACAATGTGGTAAATCATTTGAGAGCCACTCAGGCCATAACCACAGAGATTCCCTCTGGAGGGGAAGCATGTTGTAGGCACAGAGCCCCACAAGTCTTGTCAAAGGAAGAAGTGTGCTTATTGGGAGTGGTCTTTTTAAGCACAGAGGTCTGCAGCAGCTGCAAGCACAGAGGCAGTCACAGAGACAGGGGAGTTGGCTAAGAAAAGATCACTCATCTATAGTGGCTGCAGGAGTAGAGTCTCCCATAATAAAAACTCCAACACTGACCTCCTGTCTATGTGGAGGGACTTTGCTATCTTTCCAGCTGACTTCCTTGGAAGCAGAAATCCACTTCCTCATATTGGTGGCTGTCGGTGTCACTCCCGGCCGGCAGGAAGGACACACAACAAAGTCTGGCAGTGGACAACCTTTTCTTTTATTTTCCTTCTCCGTACAGCCTGCCCCGGGAATCCTCCCGGCCGAAGCCTCTGTTGGTCCGCTCCCCGCGGCTCCTTGCGTGCTTCTCCCTACAGTCTGTCCCGAAGCCTCTACCGGTCCGCTCTCCGCGGCTCCTTGCGTGCTTCTTCTGCTTCTTCTTTTTTTTTGGCGGGAGAGGCACTCACTTTTATAGGGTTACAGTGGCCAATCAGTTCAAAGCGCGCGATGCGGGCTGATTGGCTAACATCAGTTGTTGCTAGGCAGACTATCTTACAGGGCGGGTTGTGAAGCAGGAGATCTTACAGGGCGGGTTGTTTACCAAGCAGGAAGCAGGAGATCTTACAGGGCGGGTTGTTTACCAAGCAGGAAGCAGGGGATCTTACAGGGCGGGTTGTTTACCAAGCAGGAAGCAGGAGATAAGCGCCATCTTAGCACACTCGATGGGAGGGGTAATCTAGCTCAGGCTTTGCTCTTTCCTACAGGCCTCACGTCCGCCAAGTAAGGCGACCGGGCTCGGCCGTGGCTCCCAACATCTCCCCCTTTTTTATTTTTTATGAATGTGCGCATCGTAGCCCTTCCTGGACTGGGTGCAGAGGCTTATGCCCTATGCGTAGGCCCACCGTAGGTCCTTGGCTTAGACCCTGGTCGGCCGTCCCATGGTCTGCCAAGGCCCTGAGGCCCTCGTCCTTTTTCTAGGGCCAGGCACAAACTGGACGGAACCTGGATGCACACAAGCTTGCACTCATTTCCTCTCCGTAAAGAAATCCCCTCGGAGAGAAATTTAGACCTGGGCAGCATCTAACAGTCCAGCGGCTTACGTGCAGGATGGGGTAGGGCCTGGCTTAGGTTGAGTCGCACCGGGGGAGTACGCTCTTACCCGTCATTGACTCTCCTACCCAGCTATGTCATAATTTTTTAGAGGAGGAGTGTGGGAAGCTCACCGCCCCTAGACTCGGTCGTAGGCTAGGCGAGCGAGCCATGCATATGCCTGAGGATCTTTTTGTCCATTTTGGGCTACCGCTATTTCTATTCATCTTGTTGGTTGGTCTGTGATGGATCTCCGGTAGGGCAGGTCTGATCTTCAGTCGAGGGCTTTGTTGCCCGTGTCAGTCTCTCCGGTACCCACAGTGGTTCTCATCCCGGTTCCTGTGGGAAAACACAAACCGCGCCTCGGTTCCAGCTGATTACCGGATCCGGGCCCATCCATTGTCCTGTTAGGACATCTTTCCATTTAACCCACCCTTTATGGTTGGGGGAAGGGTTGCAGTGCTCCATAGCTGGGGAGCAATTATCATTATTTAAATTTAAAAAATTGTGTGTGAATAGTGCCATGGATAATCGTGCCTTTGGGGCCAGGCCTTGGCCTACTCCCCCTTTTTGTTTTTGTAAAATTTCTTTGAGGCTTCTATGAGCCCTCTCAATGATTCCTTGACCTTGGGGATTGTATGGGATACCATGTTTTAATTGTCTGCCATTGATCTTAAGCAAAAGCATGGGCCTCTTGTCAAGAGTCATGTGGAGTACTGGAACCTCTTATGGAGGCTGGGGAGCAGCAGGAGCTGTGCTATCCTGTCCTCGACCACAAATACGATTTCCTTGAGCATCATAGACTGATCTGCAATCCTCTGCCTTATGTGGGCCCTTTCTGCATCTCCCGCAGACGTTATACGATCCTTCATTTTTAAGGCGAGGCTTGGCGTCTGCATTATTTGGGCAGTTGCGTTTAATGTGTCCTGGGTCCCCGCAGCTGAAGCACCCCTTGGCTTTATGTTCCTCTCTAGGCCCGCGAGGTCCCCTTTGTTGCACTGCCGCAGCCAGAAGAGCTGCAACTCCCGAATTAGAAAGCGGCCCCCCTATTTCTCTGCATATTCTGATCCAGGCGTTAAGATCCTTATTCTTATGTGGGGCTATTGCTGCCTTACATTCCTTTGTGCATTGTTTGAAAATCAACTGCCTAACCAGCGGTTGAGCCACTTCCCTATCGGAAAAGATCTTATCGGCGGCATCTTGCATCCGAGCCACAAAATCAACGAATGGCTCTGTTGTGCCCTGGACTATTTTAGAAAGGCACAAGGATGCCGTTCCGGCACCACTCACCTGCTTCCAGGCGGGAAGCCCAATGGTATTGATCTGCTCATAAACTGCACCAGGGAACTGAGTCTGATCATCAGCGTGTTGGCCTTCCCCCATAAGCATGTCTCTATTCCACCCCCGGTTCCCTCGGTTAGCGTTTCTTTCCGCCTGTTCGGCAGCGAACTCGGCGTACCAGGCTCGCCAATCCAGGTAACTACCCGAGGGCAGACACGCCTTTGCCAGCTGAGTCCAGTCCGCGGGGGTGAGGGGCCCAAAAGACAGGTTGTCCAGCATGGCAATGGTGTAAGGCGCAGTCGGCCCAAAGGTTGTAACTGCATTTTTAAGTTCTCTAATCTGCTTTATTTCAAAGGGTTCCCACACATTACGTCCCTGAGCCATGGCCATCTGTACAGGATATATCCCATAGGGGCCGCTATCTATCCCTGGGAACGGGTGGTCTTCATTAGACACACGACCCCCATGCCACAGCTGTCTGTGGAAATAACGTCCCGCCGGCGGCGGAGCATCATAAGATGGCGGCCGTGGCTGAACAGAAAATGGCGGCCTGTGCGTTATTTCCTGTACTGACGGAAGAGGGGGGAGTTCCCATGCGGCGGCATCGTGGCGAGGGACCGCTTCCGGGAACGAGTTCCAGGGCGGAGCAGAAGGTTCTGTCTCCCTCCCCTGCCAGGGGGCGCTCAGAAGCTCTCTGCTTTTTCGTAAGCCTAGCTGAGCGGAGCGCAATTCGCGGTGCAACGCAGCGAAAGAGCCTTGCGTCTCCCCATCAAGCGACTTAGGCCCCTGACAGCTGGTCTCTTTGGCCTCCTCACCATTCAACCTTCCCTCGTCCTCGGAGTCAGACGACTCTGAGGCTTGAGCCCCGTCCTCCTCCTTAGCATCTTTGTTCCCCTTGACGGACCCCTCTCGGGAGCTCCCTGACTGGGCCTGCTCAAATACCCTGCGTACTTTTGTAAGCTCTTGAGAGCTTTCCCCGCAACCACCCTCACTCTTAGTGCCGCTACCTAGCATGTTTCCCATTTTTTAACATGTTACTCACCGCGTGAGGCCCAAGGAATCCGCCACTTACGCGTGAGCCTGAGAGGAGTCTACAAACCCTGTAGGTGCGCGCCACCCAGGGCCCAGGTTTATCCTCTACTCACCTGTCTTGCAGCTCTGCGTTGGAGCGTTGTCCACTGCCACGTCTCGGGGGTGATCAGTTCCCCGTACGGGCCACCAGATGTCTGTGTCACTCCCGGCCGGCAGGAAGGACACACAACAAAGTCTGGCAGTGGACAACCTTTTCTTTTATTTTCCTTCTCCGTACAGCCTGCCCCGGGAATCCTCCCGGCCGAAGCCTCTGTTGGTCCGCTCCCCACGGCTCCTTGCGTGCTTCTTCTGCTTCCTTTTTTCGTGGCGGGAGAGGCACTCACTTTTATAGGGTTACAGTGGCCAATCAGTTCAAAGCGCGCGATGCGGGCTGATTGGCTAACATCAGTTGTTGCTAGGCAGACTATCTTACAGGGCGGGTTGTGAAGCAGGAGATCTTACAGGGCGGGTTGTTTACCAAGCAGGAAGCAGGAGATCTTACAGGGCGGGTTGTTTACCAAGCAGGAAGCAGGAGATAAGCGCCATCTTAGCACACTCGATGGGAGGGGTAATCTAGCTCAGGCTTTGCTCTTTCCTACAGGCCTCACGTCCGCCAAGTAAGGCGACCGGGCTCGGCCGCGGCTCCCAACAGGTGGCAAACTCTACACAAGTTGTTTTACTGTCTTTTTTTTTAAACATTTTTAATATTATGAAATCCAAGTCAAAGTCACCAGCAGATTTGGTGATTAAGATTCACTCTTGAATTAGGTAGATATTGATGACCTATAATAAGAATACTATTACTATTACTTAATTAATGCAGAATGCCATGTGCTGGCCACTATGCTAAGTAATTTACCCAAATTTTAAATCAATAACTCCAGTAAGATTTGGTCTCATTATTCCTATTACTTAAGAAAAACAGGCTTCACCTAAGCTACTTACCCAAAGGCAAATAGCTACTGAGGCCTAAAAAAAGTCAGGAACTTAACACTGCACACTGTTTTAAATTCTTATAGGCCATCATTTTGCCTCAGGTCTTGATAATTATGTTTCTAGTGGTACAAGGAAGAAATTTATGAAAATGTAACTTGTCCATTGTTGAAATTCTCGGGATAGTGATGAAGGTTTGCCTGTGTACAACTGCTGTGTTTTCTACCTCCAAGAATATCACCTACTATTTGTGTCTTTATTGAGTAGTTTCAAAGGTAATTTTATCTGATTAAATTTTCAAATGATTTAATCACTGTAAATTCATACCTGGAGGATTAGTGAGTTGGGATGTTCTAGATTATGCTACTCAAACATCCTTAAACTATACTTCTATTGTGGAGGATCCCTAGTTGTCCTTCCCTGATTATACAGCCTCTCTTACTTAAAGGACTTTTCTTCACTTGATGTCATAGTGTTATTAAAATAAGCAAAGCATGACATGGAGTGCAAGGCTTCTGCGCTTAGGAAAGATCACTGGTCAGACTGGAGGGTAGCTCACCTATGTTGGGGGAAGCAGTTAGTGCAGCTGGTATGGAGGAAAGATAGAGGCCAATCCAAGAATGAGGGAAGTTGTGCCATGTATGAATGCTTGTGGGTATCGCTTCAGGTCCTCAAGACTCAGAATAGCAGTGCCAAACTTTCTCTATCACTTTACAGCTGGAAGAGTAATCTGGCCCATTTGGCCAGTTACAAAAAATGTTGTAAATTGGATGACTTATACGTGACAGAAACTTGCTTTCCCCATCCTGGACACTGGAAATCCAAGTCAAAGTCACTAGCAGATTTGGTGGTTAAGATTCACTCCTAGTTTGTAGAACAGCACCTTCTCTCCATATGTGCTTATGTGGTGCAAGGGGCAAGGTGGCTGTCTAGTGTTTCTTCTACAAGGTGAAACTCACATTTGTGAGAGTTCCATGACCTAGTCAACCTCCTAAGTTCCCGCCTTCTAATGTCATCAGAGTGGTGATTCAAGTTTGAGGTATGAATGAGGGTAACATAAACACTCAGATGATAACACTTTACCTCTGGCCCCCAAAATTCATTTCTGTCTCACATGCAAAATACCCCATCCTAATTGCTCTAAAATCTTGACTTGTTCCAGAGTCAACCCTAAAGTTTAATGTTCAGAGTCTTAGCTAAATATTATTTATATAAGATATGGGTGAGACCTGAGGTCTGATGGACCCTGAGGAGAATTGTTTTGAACTAAATTGTTTATAGAACTAAACATTTTGGGAGCTTCTACAATATAAAGATGAGTTCAGCACAGGCTAGACATTTCCATTACAAAAGAGATAAAGAAGATAGAATGGGATAACAGGTCCTTTAAAAGATTAAACTACTGCAGGAATGAACTCCTAAAGCTGGATGCTCTGCCTTCCAGGCCTTGGGGGCAGTGGCCCCACACCCACAATGGCCTTCTGTAGCAGCCCCACCTCCTTGGAGGTCCCATGCCAGAGCTACATGCCCAAGGTTCCCAGTGGACCCACGCTCCTGTCCATGGGTGTGCCAGTCTGTGGTCACAAGGGCAAAGGGACCTCCCTGGCCATATTGTGCATTGCCCCAGAAGGAACTCTCCTCAGAGACCATGGCAATTTTTGGGTTGAGGCCTGAAGTTCACTGTGGCATCCTCTGAAATCTAAAGGAAGGCTGCCACACACCCGCAGCTTTGTGGGCACATTACACATCATGCTCTTTTCACCCAAGGTTCACAACGGAGTGCAGGGGTCAGAGTCTTAGGTCAGCACCTGGTAAGGTGGTAAGGTCCTGCAGATACCCATCGGCCCTCTGACACTGTTCTGCCTCCCAGAGGCCAGCACCAGAGACAGGCAGGCCTGTGAGCTCTGAAGGCCCTGCCCAGCCATCTCTTCATGATCTGCACAATCCTGACTTCTGCTCATATGGCTGGTTTGCACCAATCTCTTACCAGAGGGTCACACACTTGGTGCTTTTCCATTCCTCAGTGGGCTGAGAATTGTCCTCAAATTTAGATTCTGCTTCCTATTAACAACTCCACCTTAAATCATTTAGTCTTCCTCCATTTTATGGAAATCAATTCACTCTTCCAACACTTTGCTTACATATAGGTCCAGCTAAATACCCAATTTTATCGCTCCCACATTCTACTTCCCACAAACTGTATAAGAAACACTATTTAGTCAACTTCTTTGACACTTTATAATAAAGACACCTGTCCTTGAGTTCTTAATGGCATATGCATCATTTCAATCTGAGAGTTCATTAAAATAATCTTTACTGTCCACATTTCTGCACATTTGTTCCAATCACTCATTTGGGAGATTCCTTTCTGTCCAGTTAGGGGCGAATCCATACCAAGCAGCACCCTCCTAACCCAAGTTCTAGCCAGTTCTGTAGATGCAGCTCATACCTCAGAGTTCACAGGACCTTCTCTTCTGGCTTTCTTCACTCCTCAAACTCTAGCTATCCTATTGTCTCAGTGTCCTTTTTTTTTTTTTTTTCCTTTTTCGTCTTTTAAAATTCTTTTATTAGCCCATGTTTGCAGTGATCACATTGCTCTCAAGGATTGGTCCATTTAAATAACACATAACAAATTTCTCTTCAGCTCTGGCTATGACCCTCCCTGCTGCTCCTTCCACTTCCTGGTCCCCTGTCACATTTGCTGTGTTGCCTTTGAGGACTATTTCACATGCCCGAGCACAGGGACACTGGCTCCTGTTTCCTGCGTCCCCCTCACTCTTGCTCCAGGATGTGTGGAAATTCTTCCACCATTTCAGACTTTAATCTCTTCTTACTTCCTTTTTATCTTAATTATTTATTTATATTCAACCTTTCTCTATGTTCAGTTATCTGTTTCAGAAAGGTGATGATTAGATTTTCTTGAGCTGATGTTGGAACCTAGGACCTCAGGCATCAGAGACCCCTGCTCCATCAGAAAGGGAATTCCTGCAGGAAAATGAGAGGCACTTTATTTGGCAAAAGAGGAAGGGGCAATATTTCTCCTCCTTAGAACTACGACCATTTGAGGCAATCACAATACTGTGCAATAAAGGGAAAAGTTAATAATATCTCAGGGATTGTTCTTTTAACTTCTTTTTGTTTTTATCCCCATGATTTGGGATCTCCATGTGCCCAGCTCCTTACTGCCACAGAAGGAGAACAGCCAAGTTATGTTTTAAAAATTCACCGTGACAAGTATATTACTAAAGGATGCCAAATATATATCTTTGTCTATGTCCCTAGTGAGAGATAAACAGTAACAGAGCCACATTTATCTAATTTCAGCACATTCTAAACAATCACTAATCTGGAGAGGCAACTTTTTCTGATTCTTTAATGAACACATAAAGAAGGAAAATTACAGTGGAAGTCAGAATATTTAAATTATGATCCCAGTTCAGGTATTAATTAGCATGCAACCCAGATAAAGTAATTAAAAATTTTTGTTAAAAATATTACTGCCCAGAGTTATTGAAAGAACTGAATGAGCTAGTGCCTCTAAAGCAAGGAGCATATAACACATTATAAACAGGAAATTCTATTTTCAAACCTAAAGAATTTATCTGGTGAATGTTGTGACAGACATCAAGGAAAGTGGAAGTTCAGCTCATCACTCTAGAGTCAATTTCCTCATTTATAAAAATAGATTCTATCTTCAAACATATCTACAAAACAGTGCAGTTGTAAGCAGCGGGCAAAAGGATCTTTTATGGTTCTTGATATGTTGATCTGACATTTGTCAAAACAACGGTTCAGCAACTGCACAAACAAGAATAGATTCCAAGAAGGTAAAACAATTTAAAAATAGAACTATGAAAGTACTAGAAAATCCAGGCACAAATGTAAAACAGCAAGAAAATTTTAAAATATGGAGATAAGAAAGCAGACAGGCAGGTTTGCTTGGAATGGAGGGGTGACACCCTGAAGAGTTCCCTGGGCTTTTTTTTTTTTTTTTTACCTAACATGATCTGTACAGGAAGCTGGTGATAGTAACAACCCCAACATGACAAAGGGAACAGGCTAAAGAGTCCTAAGACACGCTGCCTTCTCTCTCTGGCCTGGACCAAGGAGGAACAGCAAGACAGAAAGATCACTGCTCTGTTCCAGTGAAATCTGATGAAAAATTAACTTCGGCAGCCCTGCAGCCCTGCGCTCTGAGCCCTGCTCCTTCAACAGGAACATGGTGCACTGAGCTATGAGATGATGCTGCTTCACTGAGCAACCCCGTTCTTTCCTCCAGCTAGCAGGGTAGTGAGGAATGCAGAGCAGGTGCCAGATTTGTTTGTTTGTTTGTTTGTTTGTTTGTTTGTTTGTTTGTTTCATTTATTCCCTTCCTCACCAGCGGCTGTGTTCCTGTGTCCAGTGGGTCCAGCACTTCCTATTTCCACTTTGGTCTCCATTTTGTAGGTTTGGTGAACATCCTCAGGTTCCAAAGTTGTGCCTGCTTGTAGGTGGATTCATCTTTCTTCACCTGTCCTCTTGTGGTTAAAAAGAGGGAGGCTGGAACTCAGAATGTCTCTTCCTCATGATTGTACTCTGGGATTTCCAGGTGGCTGGGTCACCTGAGTCAGCGAATGACTTAATTCCTAATTCTTGCCTCCACCACCTGCATGGATCGGGAAACTTCCTTCCCCTCGATGCCCACTCTTGGCTCATCTGGAAGGGGTTGGGAATCAGCAGATGGTGACACTATCACCCAACCCAAAGAAGGCTGAAATCCACCCAGAGGTTTCCAGATCAGTCCTGAGTTCACAAAATCTGTGCTAAAATAAATAAAGTGGTTTGGCAAACAAATGTAATTCGTCCTTTTATTTAGTATTTTCAATTAACTCCAACAGAGACTTTTGATCTCTCTGTGAGCCTCCTGGCACAGGCCAACCTAAGAAGACACAGTCAGAGAAAGCACAGAAAGAAGCAGGGATTCCCACCGACACACTGCCTACATGAGTATTCTTTCACCTGACTCCACATGAGTATGTGTCCTTCTATGATCTTTGTCTGCACTTAAATAAAATTCTTTTTTAAACATCCTCAGACCCGTGGGAGCATGTTCTAAAAGAAGTAAGCGATAAACTCCTCCATATTTGCTATATATATATATATCAGCAAAGTTTAAAAAAGTCCAGCACCCAGCCTGCCATGATTCATCTCTTGCAAATGACAATGGAAGCAGCCTCAGATTTTAAAGCATCTAATTTGTAAGTGGTTCAACCATTTTTATAAAAGGGAAGAGAGAGTGGTGGAAGGAGTTATGCAGTCTCGTTAAAATTCTTACAATGATTTAATGGGATGGATTGTCTTCATTTTACAGTCCACGGAGCAGGGTTCAGAAAGATTATGCAACTTTTTCAAGGTCATCCTGTGCAGTAATAGGGAGCTGGGAATATAAAGCCAGCTTTCTGAGACTGTACATTCTAGACTCTCCGTGTTGGCTGCTACAGCCTCACTAACTACATAGGGTGTTTTAAATAGAAAAAATGTAAACAAGAATCTTTCAGGGTTTAGATATAGAAGAGAAAAGGCAGGGCTAAACGATAACATTTTAAGAGAAGGGACTCTGGACTTTCATATGAAAGGCAAATGGGCTTCAGATAATCCCTCCCACCTCCACCTCACCCTGATTTTATGTTTTGCTTGATGCATATATGCTTGGAGTCATCCCCCATGTCCTTCAAGCGTGGGATAATATATGCTAACAGCAGTTCTAGGCAGTGTCTATTTCCCAGACTAACAGTGGCCACACAGGAGCCATTGCTTCTCACCAGTGCTCCAGATGTCACAGTGGCACCCAGGTGCCACCCAGGTTTGATTTTATCCTCAACAATCATGAAAGGCTATCAGGCTTCAAGATGTGCCCCTTGTTTTTTCATCTGTACCGATGACCTTGCATGATTGACAGAGCAGAGAATATAAAATCCCAGTGCATTTTAATATAGTCTCCTGTTATTGTTGTTTAATCAATCTGTAATTGAGTACCTTCTAGGCCAGGAAATTTTAGATGGACATAAATCTATGCAAATTAATCCAAAATTGTGTACCACATACAAAGTTAAAGAGCAGGAGCTTATGAGAGTTGCTTGCATCAAATATGAAAGGAACACAGCGGGGTTGTCAGGCTCTTTCTGCTAGCCCGGGGCTCAGGAAATGTTATTGTCAGTGTCTATCTCTGTCACAGCTACTCAGTTCTGTCCTTTTAATATAGAAGTAGCCCTAGAAAGCCCGTAAGCAATGATTGTGGCTGTGTCCCTATAAAACATTAACTATGAAGACAGACACTGGGGGCAGAGTGGTCCCTCACACTGCACTGTCCCCTCCCTGTGGGGGGTCACAGCCTTGGTCCACATGGTGTCAGTGTCCTCAGCCATGTCCATAACTTCCTGCTGAACCTAACACCAAGCCGCCTGTGTGCCTTTCCTCCTCATCCTGACTGTGTGGTTTGGTACAAACAATAAAAATCTATAATAGGTCTTTGAGCTTTACCTCTACCTTCCATTGGATTAAAATTGATTGTTTGATTGTTTTTTTCATGCCTAAATCTTGTAATCTGAACAACTACTTTTAAAATAACAATATACAATATATTAACTAGCATTAATTTCCTATTTTTATTCTATACTGTTTTTATACTTTTTAAATAAAAAAAAGAGAAAACATTGAATGCAGTCACAGAAAAGTACCTGTGCTGCCCACGTAGAAGAAACTGCCCATTTTTGTTGGAGGAAGCCTGATGACTGGATCCCTCCAGAGGGCCTCACGGACATTTTGGATCTGATTAGCCAGGTTCCTGGAGTGCACGAAAAAGTGCATATTCTCAGATCCTCCTCATGCACTCATAGGTAAGACTTTTCAGAGGTGGCTGGATCCAGGATTTGTGATACTGGGATTAAGTGTGAGATAACTGAATGTGTTCACCATTGTTCTGGGTGTGGCTAGTGGAGCCCCTGCCCTTCATGTGGATGGCACCATTCAATAGGCATATAGCCTCGTTGAAATATAAAGGAAAAAGAAGGAAGGTGGGCTTGCTGTTGCTGCTTGCTGCCTTTTGCCTAACACATCATGAACTGTTTCTCCTCTGTGATGCCTTTCTGTCACACCACTTGCTTGGAGCCAGCTGAATAAGGACAGAAACTTCTACAAACTGTAAGCGAAGTTTAACCTTCCCTTTTTTAACTTGTAGGAATCAGGTATTTTGTCACAGCAACGAGATAAGGAATTAAGACACCTCTCAAGTGCTTCTGGGGATTTGAGCCAGTTTGAGATTCAAACTCACTATAACTACATGTTCTCAGCTGTGCTGTTCTCCTGGCCCCCGTACTACAACACATAGGCTGAAGAACTCAACCAAATGTATAGCGTCCTTCAGATGCACTCCATGCTACCAGACCTTCTGCCTGTCTCTAGTGTCTTCTCTGTGTCCACACAAAGGAGAGGGTCAAGTGATGGGTTTGCCATGTGCCCCTCCAGAGGATCCCCACTGAGCAGAGTTTTGGTCTGCTGTGTGCTAAGCACTATATTGGGTACTGGCTACACACTGGTTGCAAAACAAACTCTCTAGTCTAAATGTAAGAAACAGCACTTGGGGAGGAGTGGCCAAAAGCAAATGAAGACAGCTGTAAAATTTCAGGCATAGAGAAAAATGAGAATAAAGGAAATAGATGGATGGAGGAAAAGGTAGTATTGCAAGTAAAAGAATTAGAGAAAAATTTTTGACTAGCGATGTCTGTGCAAAGATATGAGTGAGGTGAGGGGCTGAGCTAAAGAAACATCTGGAGGAAAAGTACCCTGTTCAGAGGGACTCGCAGGTACAAGGCCTTGAAGTGGGAGAACAACAGCAATCTGGACAAAGTGAAGAGGGCACAGTGACAGGAGAGGGGGCAGGGTACTCATAGAGATCAGAAAATTGTCCATGCTGCTGTAACAAAACCCCTGAGGTTAGGCAATGCACGGACAACAGGAATGTGTTTCTCAGTTCTGGAGCCTGGAAGGTCTGAATCAAGACACCAGCAGTTTCGATCTCTGTTGCCAAGATAGCACCATGAATTTTTGCAGAGGAGACAAATAATGAATGTGTCTTTGCATAGAAAGAGAGACAATCTCTTCACAAGCTCTAATCAACTCATCTCAAGATTTAATCACCTCCTGAGTCCTGAGGTCTTGAGTCTCCACTTCTTAATATTCTTGCCTATTGAGTTTTAATATGAATTTTGAAGTGGATGTAATCATTCAGGTCATAGCAGAAAGAGAAGAAGGGAACAAACCCTCAGATCTTAAAAAGGATTTAAAATTTTATTCTGAGTGAGATGAAAAGCCATTCGGATTTGGGAAGGGGAAATGCATGCATGAGCCATTCAAGGGTCATCCTGGCTGCCCACCACATGTGCAAGGTTGCTCTGGGGAACAAGGAAGAGATGCAAAGTTGGAAAGGGGACCTCATCAAGAAACTCTTTTCATCACTCTGACTAGAGATGTTAGTAGTTAGGAATGGAATGGCAACTGTGAGGACAGTGAGAGGTGATCAGATCCAGAACATAGTACTAAACTAGAGCCCACAGAAGTTTCTCCTGAGTGGAATGCAAGCTAAAGAGAAAGTGCAGAGTCCAAGATGTCTCTCAGACACTCAACTCTCCCCATCCTCTGTGACAGTCTTTTCTTTCAGTAGTTGCTATGTCCACCTTGACCTCTGGTGCATAGTGCTTCTCTTGCCACCTGTGTAAGGGCTTCTCAGCTGCTTTCTGGGACTCCTGGAGAGCCCCACATGTCAGCAGTCCAGATACCTATGTAAGTCTGGGACTTCCAATAAGTCAAGGCCACGGAGACAACTTTTACTGAGGAGGGGCAGGTAACAGGTGGGCAGTGCTGAGGCTCTCTCTGTACAGCTCTTCTTCAAGGTCTTCTGGCCCAAGCACAGCTCTTCTACAAGGCCTCCTGGACCCAAGTCTCTAGGTGTCCACAGCAGAAGCCAGCTACATCATTCCACCTTGCATAGCATTTCCCTCTTTCCATTTTACTCTGCCCAGTGGCTCTCCATTTGTGTATTCAGTTTCCTTGCCAAAATGTACTCAGAACTCCCCCAAACCAAGGTTTAACTTAGATAAATGGAAGTTTCGGCTACTCCTTAGATCCTCAGACAGAGAAGGCAAAGAAACAGTCTGATATAGATGAGTCTGGGATTCAGAGCACAGAGCAAAAAAGACATAAGGCTAATTGTCTTCCAGTATTACAGAGCTGGATGTGTCAGGTAGCTCCCTTCTCCACAGATTCCACCATTCCGGGCACCTCCATCTCCCAGGGCTCCCTTGTTCTGTGGCTCCTTCCTGGCCCTCACGAGGAGCCAGGGAGGATGTGATGAACAGCAGCAGGACCGGTTTGCAATCTGTCCCATCTTGTGATGACAGCTCTTCTACACTGTCCTCATGCTCTACTGGCTACAGTGGGTACTGCGCTTCATAGCAGAGGAGCAGCCAAGTGCACAGGAAGGCTTGCATAGGTCTGCATGACCATCTGACCTAGGGACATTATTTTTGGAAGCTTTTTCCCTTCATTAAGATTCCTCCTGAGATTTCAGGGAAGGAAGAAGAAAACGGAGATGGGAGGCAGTCAGAGAAGGGAGGTGGAGAAAGTGAGCAACTTTGTCTTCGGGAGCCTCACAGCTCCTCCAACAGCCCCTTACCCTGCCCCAGGCAGCCTGGATTTCCAACACCCTGCAGAGTGAGGGCATAGCTTTGTTTTCATTTCCATTTAATTTGCTCCAATGAAAACTGCAATCAATGAGCAGTTAAACATCCCCATGTGCTCCACGGATGCCGTCCCTGGCACTTTTGCTGTCCCTGTTTGGAAAATTCACCCATGAAAGCATTTGATGTGCCTATATTGTCTGTGGAAACCTGCAATGTCATCCTTTGTATGAGGAATAAAAACTCACCCTGGGGTACCAATTTTAATAAAGCTTAATTAGACCAATTTGTAGTAAGCTGAGTTTCCAAGCTGCAATCTGACAAGCAGCTTGAGCTATTTCACTACGTTTTTATGTTCATGAATTTCTGCCTCAAACAAAAGGTCAAATTGAACATAAAATTCTATGCAAAGGACTCCTGAAGGGATTGTGAATTTCTATTGTCATAGGAATGTGTGTTTCGTTTTGCCTTGCTTTTTTGCCATGTCCTTATGATGCTAAAGGAGTAACATCCAGAAGAATGAGATTCTTTCACATTGTCCAGGTACCCAAAGGTGCAAGGGGAAACATGGAACTGGCCACACCCTGTCTTCATGACCCTCTTTCCCTCAGAGCTGGAGAATGACTTCCCAGCCTCCAATACAGGAAGCACACAAACACAAACTAAGAACAACACAGAGTCCTCCTGTGAGACAAGCCATCTTACTTAGGAGTAACAGATACATTTTAAGTATTGCTTTGGTTTTCCCTAACTGCAACAAATATCTGAAACGATAAACTTACAAAGAGAAAAGGTTTATGTTGGGTCATAGTTTTGAGGATTCCAATCCATGACTGGCTGGGCCTGGAGCAAAGCAGGACCTACAGTGGGAGTGTGTAATCTCCAGGAAGCAAAAGACAGATGAAGAGAAAGGGCTTAGAGTCCCCTAACCCTCTTTGAGGGCACATCACCAAAAACATAAGGACTTCCTCCTAGTCCCCAACTCATTTTACCTTCTCCAAATTGTGCCACTCAGCTGGAGCCTTTCCTTGGGAGACATCCAAGATCCAAACTGTAGCACGCATTACGCTTGGGCTGGGAAACTGCTTGCTGGAATTGTATTTTTCAGATAAGCAGCAGGTTGATGTTACTGGATTTCACTTTGATGCTGTATCCTTGCCTAGAAATAATACATATGTTTCAAGCACTGTGTGAGCTTTATCTGAAATGCCATCGGGGACCACGAGAAGAAAGAACACAAAATCCACTTCTATGGCTATAGGGAATAGCTGAAGCCACTCTTTCTGAGAAAGGGAATAAGGTCAGGGAAAAAGAGAGACAAAGTGGAACAATAACTTCTTTCTTCAATTAACTCTGACATAGGCATTCTACCTTAATAAGGAAGGAGCAGTCTTTAACCAAAAGAGGTTTCAAAGGGCCTGTGTCAGATACAAGCAGTCCACATCATCTACCAAACCAAATCTACAGTGTGTCTCCTTTGTGAGTTAACTGAAATCCACTTCCCCTCTATTTTCCTTTTGATCAGATGCATTTCCATAAATGCCTATAAAGCTAGACCACTAATTAATGATGTTAAATGCTGGAAAATCCAAGATAAAAATAAGGGGAAAATGATACTTTGTACTGATAACCTGAGAAGCCTGCAAACAATTCAAATAGATTGTTGGCAAATTGACTCTTGAGGGAATAGAATCTAGGTCAGTCACATTTTTTTAAAAAGTGACAGGAAAAACTGTAGCATAAAATGCTACCGGGAGGGCTGGCCCATTTATAATGGGGATGGGGAGATGGTGAATAAAAGCCATTTGGAAAAGGACAAAAGCTAAAGAAACGTGGAAGAAGGGCACAAATAGTAAAAAAAACGGCATATATGAATAGCTGCGCAACAGAACTAGGCTTATTTCTAGGGAAAATTTCAAGAAGCTACACTGTGACTGTGTCTCCTAGCGGGAGAGTTGCCCTTACCTTAGCCTCTGGTGATCTCCTCTGCTGGACACACTGGGATCCTCTGGTCTGTGAGGACAGGCCAGGGCAAGCCCTGAAAGGACTCCTCCACTCACTCATGCACCGCAGGGAGGCCTGTGGCAACCAGCCCGGGCACCTGCTCACCTCCCACAGTCCAGGGATCGCATCCAGCCTGGCCTGCACAACCTCCTGCGTGCGCCTAGCCACTGCAGCAGGAGGCCAGGGCTGGGAACTTTGCCTTCCTCCGGTGGCTGCCCATCTGGATGGCAGACCAGCAGCCCTTTTCACTTTTGGGGTCCCCTTTCCTGTGGGCCATAAGAGGCACATTTTGCAGACAGTGTAATCAGGCCATGCAGTTCACATGATGAGAGTCTCGGAACTGGATTTTATTGCTTGCCAGAAATGTAGAGAAAACCACATTTGTACAGCTCTTCTATGAAGCAATCCCTTCCTTGGCCTGGATGTTAAAATTCTCATGGAGCTGTTTCCACGGTACTTGTGCTCTTTGTCTCAGTCTCCCCTGTCTCCTATTGAGCCCCCACTGCAGAGTGAGAAAAAAATAGTGTGCTTATGCTTGGAAGAGAAGAGGCAAATGGAGCTGAAGTCATTATTTGTATAAAGATAATAAATGGAAGTTATATGGGACAAATAATAAGCACATACATTTTTAAACATATATTTCAGTAGAATTGCTCTCAAACAACAGTCTAAATAAGTTATCACATGAACAATAAATCATTTAACTAATTTCAAGGAAAATAAGCTTTACTTTGGAACATTGTATTCAAAATACATGCTCTTGTAGTCAACTGGATATGAAAATTTTAACATTCAATAAGTCAGATTAGGGGCTGGGGATTTAGCTCAGTGGCATAAGCGCCTGCCTTGCAAGCAGGCAGTCGTGAGTTCGATCCCTGGTTCTGATAAAAAGGAAAACGACAAAAATAAATAAATAAATAAATCAGATTAGATAGAAATTCAATCCAATGAAATACAAAACTTGCCAAACTTCAAAATAATTTTTACTTAGATCAACATTTGTCACAATGAAAAAATTAAAATGCATAGAGCATATTTGCTCATTGACATTTTATAGTTTTTCTCCAAAGTATAACCAAAAGAAATAAGCATCAATTTCAGAGAAAATTATTATGGGAAAGACTTCCCTTTTGTCTGTATTCTCTGGTGTCAAAAGGGAGTGGATTCACTGGATCTGGGGACCAACACAGGCCCTGCCCATGTATCAAGCTTGATTGTCTGCAATCTTAGAAGGATTTTCCAGTCCCATTTTATTAACCAAAGCAACTCAACCATTCTGAGGCCCACCCTACCGAAAGCAAAGGGAAGGTAAAACAATCAGACCCTGAATGACTGGTAACTACCACAGGCAAGCCAACCCGTGAGGACCAGGGTGGGACAGTCCTGAGTGTTCATGGGCCACTGGAAGGACGCATCCCACGCATCTGAGAAAGTGAGAGGACCGAGACGGCTGTGTGGGTCCACCTGGACACAACTGCTCACACTGTGCTATCCCTCATCCTGCCCAAGGCAGACACTGCAGGCAAACCCATCTCTCAATCTTCTCTCCTCTCTCAGCCTTCATCCTCCTGTCACAGCCACTTAGTTCTGAGGGTAAGTGAAAGGAGTAGATGGGTTTGTATGCGAGTCCTCTGTCTGGTGTTTTCTGTGATTTTCCAGAAAGGGAATGCATGCTAAGCAGAGAAGATTCTTTGAAAAGCCTCCCTTCCTGAAGTGCTTGCAGGATCAGGTGGGAAGAGCACACCACAGGCTCCCAGGCCACACAGCCAGTTCCCGTGGGAGGGACACTGCTGGCAACTCCTCCTCCCTCAGTGCCCATTTAAACCCTGCATAGGGGGAGCTGATCAGGATCAAATTCTGTAAGTGACATGCAAGAACACAGTGGAAACAATGACATACCAAAGAGGATCATGCTCTGGAGCCAAAGTGAGACTCTCGCATTAATGCAAACCTTTCGTTAAACTCCCAGTGCGGCTGCCCACTAGCACACCACGGATGAAACTGTGTTCCAGATGCTGGAACAAGAAGGCAGCGTAGGTCATTTTAAGGCCTAAGCTGGGTCATGAAACACAGTGGTTAGAAAGTGACAGAATCATTCCACAGAATCATTAGCCTTTTACCCACAGGTGTGAAGAGAGCTCGTGACATCTGGAAGGCCAGCTGCTTGGAGGCTAAGTATCCTCCACCCCTCAGCTCACAGCTGAGCAGGTCCACAGAGGCAGGTGTGATGTGCACATAGCTCAGTTCTGCCGGAGCAGATGACATCTGCAGGGTCTGAACATCCTGCTGCCGTGCAGGGAACCCAGAAGACTGGAGAAAATAGTAACTGGGAGCCTCTTCCTCCTCTGTCCCCTCCCCATGTGCTCTGAAGACAGACTGAGTAAATGCAGGCTCACTGTAGCACAGGACACTAGGAGGCTTAGGACAAAGGTCCTCTGACCCTGCTTGCACTTGACACACTAGGAATCCAAGAAAGCTTGCAGAAACATCCCTGGCCCACACTCCATCCTTTCCGTTCCTTCTGTGCATCTGGTACACCCCTCAGTACTCAGGGCCTTGTTGCCCCACATACCACAGTGCTGCGGGTGCTACTCTACATCTGCTATGCTCTGTGCAACTAAACACCCAGGCCGTCCCATCTGAGTGTGCACACACACATACACACACACACACACACACACACACCTTTGCATAGGCCAATCCTATTGAGTCTCCTGAAAGTCACCACAGGAGTCCCTTTTGCTGGCAACCCTTCCTTGATATTCTCCAACAGGAAACCTGCCATGGGCTTCCTGTGGTGATGGCTAGTGGGTCCTCCCCTGGCTATCACAAGCACAGTGGAGAGTGATTTTCTGAGGAAGGAGTGAATCTTCATCCTACCATTCAGCATGGCTGCTTAGTGACACCACACACAGCCCCCTGGAAAGTCTGACAATGGAAATCATTGCCAATCTGCTCCCCGCCAGTGCTCCTTCACTGCTACCTGTTCATTCAAGCCAGACACTTGCCTTTGACCGACCAGCAAGCCATAATTCCTGCCCGTCTCAGCTCTTTTCTCCAGGTCTGGAGCTCCTCAGAGTACAGGTGAGAGATGCTGAGATCCTTTTGGGTACAAAGTCCCACCTTCCTTCCAGACCTAGAATCCTGGTGACACAGATCTAGCCACCTACCCCATTGTCACACCCTCCCATCACAGACCTGCCCTAGAGCAGATCATCCTGTCTCGTCCCACCTCAGCCTGGGGGAAAACTGTGGGGATGGTGGGGGACAAAGCTGCTGTCACTTCTTCCACTCTTAGGGTGGTTGCACAGGACCTAAAACACCCTGAGATGTGGTTCTCCATGTTCACTATAATGAAAGAAGCTCTGAGTAACACTGTCCTAAAGAGTAGGACACACACTCCTTAGGGCCACAATGAGGCCCTCCAAGACCAGCCGTGTGCCACTGTCTGGCCCCATCTCACCACACCTGTGTCCCCTTCCCTCCTGCCATGCTGCCTGTGGGCCAGCCGTAGACCTGTTGCCCTCTGTCTGGGTCACCATTTTCCTGTCTCGAGGCTCATCCCTGAATGTGAGCTTTCCATCCCTAACCTGTGTATTCACCTTTTCACAGATAACATGCCCAAAATGAATCTGAAAAGAAACTGCAAGAAAAAAGATGGCTTTCATGCATGTTTTGTCATTTAACTATTTTAATTAAACCCAAGGTGTCAACCAGACTCTAAAGCCAGATTGTCTTCAAGAAATAAATGTCTCGAGACCTAATTCAAGGCCTACATAATCATCAGTATTAGTTTTTTTCCCCTTCTTCTTGTGGGCTACTTGAACATTGTCACTTATCCAGGATTAAAATCCTGAGTCCCAGACAGGCTTGTTGGGCAGGATTAGAATCAACTCTCTCTGTGCTTGTTTCTGTGTTTAGAGGACAGAACTCGTCTGTCCCTCAGGGCAGTCTCCCACACACTCCTGTACCTGTCAGGTCAGGACACATGTGAATGACAGAGTGACAAAGAATGGCAAAGTGAATAGGAACTTACAGGAGCAGACTCAGTGTGTTCCACACAGCTGTGGCAGTGGCACAGACCTGGCACTCACCAGGTTTTCTTCTTTACTCAAGAAAAACTCGCTGATTTCTTGACACATTATTTTTCTCAGTTAGGGAAATGCGCTCATAGCCTATCTAGCCTTTTTGTGTTTTAAAGACACAAAAAACTGTTTCATACTAGCAAAATTTTCCTTCAACATGGTCAAGCTTAGTGTCTTTCTCTGTCAGGTGGACAGCGCCCCCTGATGGTGTCAGTGCTCAGGAACCAGCCAGATGTAAGCAGCCAGACCACCTGTGTGTCCTGGTGATTCTCCCCTAACATAAACTGCTCTGGTCAGGGTCACAGCCGGGTTTTTGCCTCATTCAGAGCAGTACATCATCATGCACACGAATTCTTGTTTTCATGGGGAAAGAGGACAGAGCTCTCTTACACAGAGCACCGGTGGGACCCTGTGTTGTGCTTTTCCTTTTCCAAGGATGTTTGTTCCTCATAGAGTTCAAAATGCCTAGTGAATCTCTTGATCAAAGTACTTTGTCTACAGGGATTGAGCAGCAACAGTGAAAGTTTTAAGTCTCTGTATACCATGGAAGGAAGCTAACTGCTATCTTGGATTATGTGCACCAAATGGGGAGGCAGAACATGTTTACTTCAGTTCATCTAATGCTGCAGGTGTTTGGCTTTGAGACAATCCCTTTTGAATGAGTACTTAGTCACACCATCACTGGTGTATTCACCTACTCTGTTGTAACTAGTCATTGGATAGTCTTTGCCATGGGCTGAACCCTGAATCCGCAGACAGAATCAGCTGATTTCCTCCCTCACCTATTAGTCCGCTGCCTCCTTGGATCTATGGTCTGAATAACCCTCAGCCCACTCTGACTTCTTGTTGTTCCTGGATTAGGAATTTTAAGAAATGCTCCAAGATTAAGCTAAGACCTGGATAAGCTGTGTCATGCAGACATCTACTGGAAGCATCTGTGATGGAAAGGCCCCACAGAGGCTCCTTGTCCTTCTCCCTCCATAACTGCCTGTGATTATGAGTTGGAGAGAGGCTG